ATATTATTATTAATAGGTGAATTAATTTACAAAAATACCGAAATATACTCCGTGACATTCATCAGCGTAAACAATTATTAATTTACTGTCAGTGTATTCCTTTATTTCAATGTTGCATTTGAGTAGAGGTGAAGCCATTTTAAAATTATTTATTCTCAATTAAGACCATCGGGGTGAATCGGTGGCAGTTCTCTTTTGTCATACTGTTAGAGCCAGCAAAACTGTCATCCTCCTGCAGTATCCCCCTTACCTGACTCCCTCCTTCCATCTACCCCGCTTTCGCATGTGAGAGGATGGTTGTATTGTCCAGCCTTTGATCGATTTTTTTTTGGTAAAATTCACCTATTTGACGGTGGACTGATCCTGCTGTTACGTGGCTAATGGTACTGGGAATAGCCATAATGCTGGGTGGCTCAGAGATTTAGTAACATAACCTACTCAGAACACGAGACAAATGCTCATTTCTGGAACGATGATACCAAATAGAGAGAAAATAGTGTGAACAGATTTTAGGTTTGAACTTGGGAACCCTGTGCCTTATAGAGTTAACTGGATAATTCATCCATAACAGGTACACTTATCATCAAATGATTGCATGATGTCAATGATGTCAGATGGATTGCAATTGACGGGAAATACAGGGTGTAACTAAATAAGTGTAAAACATTTTAGTACGTGATACCTCATCGAAAAAAAGATAGGATATTTCCTATAAATAAATTTTATTGGAGCATCCCTTGTTAAGATACAGCCCCTTAAAGGGGGTACATGAAATGTGTATAACAATTTTTTTCACAAGCATTAAAAAAGTTACAATATTGAAATTAACCTGACGTTTTGTACCACCAAAAAGATACTCAGCCAGAAATTTATTTGGTTTACCCCATGGTTGTAAGGGGTGGAAAACGCAACCCCTAAAATTTATTTCCAATGTAACTTGTTGCCTTATTATTTTTTGTTTACCGTTTAAAAATGTATTTCCGATAGCCTGTTTCATTCTAAACAAAAAATGTCTCCTGGGTGTTTTACCCAAAATAAACCAGTTCGCAGCAAAAAATTATTTTACGAAAAACTACAGAGATACATCGTCATAAATTCGAAAATACGAAACTAATCTATCTAGTAGGTCGCTATTAGCGATAGTGACAATTAAATTGGCATGACGAAATTGAATTAATACTAATTGTGTGTTGTTGTTCTGTTCTTAATTTGTTACTTTAATAATTCACTTGTTATTAAAATGGCATACACATTGTTCATGACCTTGAATAAAAAAAGAAATGAATAATATTTACGCCTTACCTCGGGACTACAAAAATTGTGAGTAATAAGCAATTCATAATAGGGTATTTCTACAGTATGATACAGTATGATACGTGCCTTCAAGTTTGAAAGACATATATTTTAGGAAGCGCCTCTGTAAGGCTTCTAGTTGATTTATGTGAAGCTGATAGTTATCAATTGTCAAAGTTCGGAAATCCCTGTTGGAAGAACCTTTATTAGAAGTTCCCGCTTTTTGAATATTTTTCCACTACCAAGTCCATTTCATGTGATTCTACTACTGAGAAAAAGTTTATCATGATCTGGCAACACTGTTACGTGCTCTGTAATTCATCCGATTTATAATTAAATATTATATCGGATTATGCTCGCAACGGCTGGTGTACAGAGGATGTTGACATAACATGCAGTGATTGTTTCGAGAAAATCAAACAGATTTAACAGATGTTCACTCTTACTGCCGCGTCGGTTAGCGTTGAATGGCCGACAACAAAAATAGAAAGTTTGACCGATGGAATTCGGCTTTGTTATGTTCAACGAAAACGTGCTATCTAAAAATAATACAAATAAAAATTGTATTGCATAAGAGAGAAGGTGATGATTCGAAGAGAAGTCTTTGTCGTTTCGTCGTTTTTCAGAACAGGTGTACTTCGAAGTTTCGGGCGAGATTTTTTGACAACTTTGAAATACGAAATACGACAGTTCGTAAAAACAACCATACGCTCAGATAGTTTAGAACAATGGGTAATTCGATATTTACCAGATAATATGTCTCAAACTTGCAGCCAAAAACAAATAACCTGGTCTCATTTATAAATGAATGTTAATAAGTGTTTACTAAGGTGAAAATATTTTACAAGAATTTAGGCACATATTTATATTTGTATTCAGAATTNTTCTCGCTATAGGCGCAGCCTCAATTGACCCATTCCTACTTCGAGGTTTACACCAGTCGTGTGCAATCGTACCATGGCCATTAACGCAACCTCTTTAACGTACACATCCAGAGGGGTCAGACCCGTAATTAATTACATTGCCGTGGTTGGTACATACAGGTACATAGAGATTAAAAACGAAAATGTTCAGACTCTGTGCTGCCTAACTGCTCATATTTAAAATTTCCAGAGGAAAATCGACAGTAACTTTCAATGCCCCTCTAAATCTGTCAATTGGAGGAATTATCTTCAAATGCAAAATTTGAAGAAACTTGCGTATTGATATGTATTTCTTTGCATTTCAAATACGTTGGTTTTTTTGTCTCCATCCAGTTTTTTCTCTTGTGAAGAGATCCAAGCATTTTTTTGTGGTATCGGATGAGACAAATCCCAGAAGGGATAGAAGGTAACCGATCAGTAATCTCACATTTAATTCGAATCTCTTGCGCTTTTTGGCAATAAAACGTCTTGTTGTGCATTACCAATGAATCTGGAATCAAAATTTTGGATTTGATTCTTTATAGAGAAAACATATTCACCTATCTATCCAATGAATCTCCCAATCACTTCTGCGACAGCTTTGACTAGACCACCCTTCGTACTAGAGGTACCGACAATTGAAATACCTTCAAACTTGTCTCAATTCTATCAACACTGTCAAAACTAAATGAGAAATTGGTAAAACTTAGATTGGCCAGTTTTTTGAAGAGATAAACATTTTTAACTGCTGAATAATTTGGTTTTCGATTAACGAAACCACCACTGATGTCATTTTCGAAGAGAATTATGGAATCATGATTGATATGGAGAAAGCTGCATCAATGTTTGTTGTCCTTTTCAAGACTTTTCACTGAATGAAAGCTCTGTCACTATGGATTTCGAGGTACAGCTCCTAATAGGTTGGGGTCATATCATGCAGGTTAAAATTAAAGAGTCACAGTGGAAAGAAATCAAAGAGTCGCAGTGGGTGGAAATCCATCTGGAACTGAAGCAATTATGCGTGATGTCTGTCAGGGGTCCTTCTATTCATTAATGATATAGTGAGTATCAATATTTCTGGACCATTCACATTGTTTGCAGATAATGCAGATGACGCACAATGAAGATCATGCTCCTTTAGAAGAGCAACTTTTGTTTAATCATGGTTTGTCTTTATCAGAATGTCATAATTGAAGGCTGCTCCTATTTTCCTCAACTGTCATCAAATTCTTCATAATCTGGGACATTGAAAGATTTTTTCAATTGAACTTTTTTGGAAAATGTTTGAGTGACTTGGTCCGCTTGATTCCTTCTAGGGTGAGGTACGTCAGCATTATGAAGAGAGTTAGAACTACTAATCGCTTCGAGGTTCCTTAGTGATTCTGTTAACCTGACATTCCACAAATTAGGGAGCCTTGGAGCTCCCATTTTTTCAAATTGAATTGCCCGTCGAAAACCAATTTCAGTGATAGGGTGACCACATTATTGCAAACATCATCGATTATTAATAGTACAAGTAGTTGAGAGTTCAGCAATTGCAACCAAGTATTTATGATGGTCAAATATTCATGAATTAACCATAATGGTGGTCTAGCTTCGTATATTGGAGTTATAACCATTACGGTGGAAAGGTGGTATTAAATGCAAAACGGCGACAAGATGAAAGACCGTATGCAAGTTTATCCCATTGATAACTACTGTGCATCGTAAAGTTCATTGAAGCGGTACTAGAGAAACAATTAGAGTGCATGATACATGATGTAGTTCTGTATGATTATTAATTTTTTTCGCCCACTTAATGGCAGCCTTCCTGTTGATCGAAACATGTGATTGAGAGGATTTATTGAATAATAGCCAGGCTGACCGAGTTGGTAGATACGCCGTATTGCCATCTGGAAGAGATACCACAATGGGATTCATGATTATCAAGTTAGAACAATTATAGTGATGTTTTATATACTTCTATATAACATTCTATATAACATCTTCGTAATATTCTGAGGAGCTTGGGCAAAATTATTTTCGGGAAAGGATAAAAGAGATTTGAAACCGTCTCGTCAGTAGATCAAGTTGTTTAAGAATCATATTAATTATCTGAGTAGTGAAAGCAAACATATATGTACATACATTCATTTACTAATTTACCAATTCATTTACTAATCTAACTGACTTGATATAAATGTACTTTTGTATATAACATAGTTGAATAAATATTCTATTCTATTTTATTCTAATTTTCGTTCTATTGCTGATAACTGAACAAAAAAAATACTCGGTCGGAATACAACCCAACAAAACAATTAGCTTGCTCATAAACTGAACCAAGAATTTTCTGGAGCTGTTTATATAACTATAAACAAGTTTATATATAATAGAAAACGGCAATTTGTTTTTGCTGCACACTTGATGACATCCACCTCATTACTCAGTTACTATTTTGATTGAGGAGAGCAAGTGCTTAGCACATTGTGAATCATTTTGAGTAAATCAAAATGACAATATGAATTCCTTCCAAAACAACTAGACAATGTACTTTACATCAAAATATATTTTTCCTTTCAGTGCCAATTAAATCAACCGTTCCAAAAAAACGAACCGTAAATCTGTTCACAAGAATGGAAGAAGCAAAAGGTGTTTACACTGTACTGAAAAAGTGCATGGAGGAAAAGATTAGGATAAAGGTGAGTTTTCTATATTACATTGTTTTAAAAATTCCATTCAGTTTCATCTGTCCCGGTTCTGTAATCAAATTTTGCAAGATGAGTTGGACCCACATCCTACATTTGGTTCTCATGACAATGCACGATTACCCAAACACCGCCATTTGAATTCAATATGGCGGACGTTTACGATTTATCATTTCCGGAGTAACCTCCATGATATAGGCATCAAAGGAAAGGCTTTGCTGAAAAGAACATGTAAGCATAAAATGACGTCACTCTAAATCCAATATGGTGGACTCTAAAAAATGGTGGACTATTTTTATTCATGCTCGTCTATGGACATCAAATGAAAGTGTTCGTTGAAAAAATACGAAATAAAAGATGCCGCTTTTAGTATAATATGGTGGACTCCTAAAGATGGTGGACTATGGTTTGGATGATATGGATATCAAATGATAATCCAAATGAAATCAATTTCATTTGGTCGGGATGACCACCGACAAACCGATTTCGGAGTACTAGCTCCTCGAGAGGAGCTAGTATATGTATATAGTATTGTTTTGAAAATAAGTAGGTACATACCGGCCTATAAAATGTTGATAAATGTTGGCAAATTGACACAGCAATATGTATCCTGTTATACATATTTCCAACACTGTTGCGCGCCTAAACAGAAACCAGTTGCCTGTCCAAACTAAGTTTTGGAACAAAAATTGAACTGAACACTGCTGCTGGTGCTAGTGCTGTTTTAGCTACCATGCCCAAAAAGATGGTGGCAGATACAGTTTTTAACGATTGGCACAAGCCCTGGCAACATCTCGATATGAGATTTACTTTTGAACGATGGTAGTTCGTTTCGCAATTTTAATCTCCCACAATGCGAGAGCTGTATTTAACATTTCAATTAGCTCTATCACCAGCTCTTTGGTCCATATCATATTTGCTGCTGAATAGAATTACAAGGAACCATATTCTGAAGTTCTGTATCTGTAGAGTAGGGAGGGTGAGTGTAGGCCACATGCGACCCATTGTACATCCTCCCGAGGATTTGTCCTCCTAGGTCATCGTCCATCCTGTCCTTTCCAGGAAGGTGGACAGGTCATTGGGAGACATCTCCTTTATATCGGCAGGTGTAGGCCAAGACTAGCCGAACACATACTCTCTTATTGACGATAACTACGGACACTCGCATAAGACATGCTTGACAGTTTCATCTTCCTGATCACACATTCTGCATATAATTGACAGAGGCCAGTCAGAAATCCTACTGTTAAGCGTAGATTTTTCCTGGTCATCGCCAGATATTTCTTCGGCGCCAGCTACCCAGGGTCGCTCAGGGTAATCCTGGCAAGGTTGCATCTTTTGATTTCATCCCATCTCTTTAAGGATTGAGCATGGGTGTGATGTTTGGCTGATACCGCAATTGTCGAAGTCGAAGCCGTAGGTGCCACTGGGTTCTAAAATGTTTAGTCCAGCCGCTTCCTTGGCTAAAAAATCGACAATGCGATTACCTTTACTCCTGTCGTGGCCTTTAACCCACCTCATGATACTGTTATTATCTACCGAGGCTTTGGCTAAATCTTAGTGGCACTCTATTACTAGCCCTGAAGTAACACGAAGATTGTGATGAAAAGGCTCACTAACGACACCACTTGTTACCACCGTACATACTAAGCGATGTTTTTCATGTGGAATAGAAAACATGGATAAAAGCAGCAGGCAACAAGTTTCTTTCATCCTATGCAGTTCGATATTGATCAACTAGTTGCTAGTTGACGGAATACACGTTGACAACAAAATTGACTTATTTTAGTGAAGCTAAATGGTATGAAAAACATAATTTGGAGTATATTTTATAATATGTATAGCCATGGATATTTTTTCCTAATAAATATTAGAGACTAGGGCCACAGTACGAATTTTTGTAGTTGGCTATGACTTTGAATTATCACAGTTAGTTTCATAATAATTGTATACGGTTACAATTTCAATCTAAGTTTTCATCAATATGGCAAAAATTGACTCGTGCTATTATCATTCTGGTATGGAAAAGTGATATACTAATACCATATTTCCTTTTTTTAAGTCGGAATTAGCATGATTTGATGATTCAGGTTCAATATGTGATACTTTTTGGGCATGGTTAAATGGAAGAGCAGCTTCTGATTGCATCATTCTAATTACAGAACCTGAATTCGTGTATATTATCCATACTTGGTCAATTAAATCAATTATTATGATCAATAATAATAATTAATAAGTTTTGTAACATATTTTGAGTATAACCAATTTTGTATGACTCATTTGCCTTGTGAGCAGTAGCTCTCACGCCATATCTTTCCAATTTCTCTAGATTTCGAAACAAAAAGTTATGCTCCTTTATATAACATCCAATACCAACGTTCGAATTTTTAGACGAATTTCGTAAGAGCGCGAACACGCAGTTTATCGCAACTAGTGCCACGGCCAATGTTAGTAGGTGATTGCCGAATTTTACCCAACTATCTAGGCGAATGTCGAAGGAAGCCCAAACTTGACCCCATTTCTGCCAATCTGAACGGAAAAGGTCACCGTAACAAGGTATCGACAGTCAATCGTTTCGTAACATGTTACTAAATCTTCAATGAGTACCCACATTGTGAGAACTCTTGAACGTTCAATTTCCAATCCGATTTGCATTTTATTGGAGCGTGGGTGTCAAAAACAGTTAGTGTTGATACTGATAATAATAATATTAATACGTCTTTATTCACCGTAAAAAGTACAATTAAAACAGACAAAAAGGGAAAAAGAAAATAACTTTCAGTATAACGGTGAATAGGTGGAGTATCAGGCAAAGCTGTTTTTCAAATTAACCTGGAAACAGCAGTAATTGAACAATAACAAAAAAAATTGAGTTAACAGTGATACTGTGATGACAAGATCATAAAATTAGTTTATGCTACCGCTGTAGAAAATTCTTTTTTGTATTACCAAGGTTGGGAACGGACATGTCTTGAGTCTTTTTAATTGTATGAAATCGAAAGTCACAGGGCCCATTATACGAGAAGCAGCAGGTGAAGATTGAAGATTCGTGTTTGGGGATGACTAAAACTGAACTGTTCTGTGTGGTGAAACTATTAATTGTTGAGAATATTTCAACCTTCTTCATTAAGTAATCAAAACTTTATGTGTGTTGGCGAGTAGATGCAGTGTTCTAAGTTTCTCCTGATTCTTGCATGGCTGAGGATATATGGTCATATTTCCTGATACCAAACGAGAAACGTAGACGGCTATTCTGTCGAAGAGCCTCCGATTATCTCAAAGCAGGTCCATAAATACTGTCGCAATAAATAAGAAATTTTTGACATGATCAGTCGCATAGTTTCAAGTTTGTGTTCAGCATATCACGATTTGGGAACAGTTGCCTGAGGACGTTGCAAGAAGTTTGGTTCAGATAGCTGACATGTTTAGTGAAGTGAAGTTCTGGATCAAACCACAATCCTACATTTTTCATCTCGGTCACGTAGGGAAGTATTTCATTTTCGAAGGGGACGTGAAAAGTGGAGGTGTTGAGCTCTCTGTTCTTCGTAGGTTATTATTGCAGATTTGATAACAATTTATTCTTTAAAAAAATATAATGTATAAATGTTGAATGATAGTCATTTGGAGGGTGATGTTGTCAATAACGGAAATTTTTAAATTCCCCGAGGTAGAAGAGTCCGATTGTCAGATTAGTTTTATTATATTGGTATACAAGCTTATGAAGTATGATAAAATTTTCAGCTCTATTCATTGTCTACTTTGTCTGCGATAGCCGCTAAAGTTGGATCAAATAGATCAAAGAATGTGTATGAAATTTTGCATAAATATGAAATAAAGTGTAACGAAGTATTTGATAAGTTAACAAAGGCCTTCAGTGAGTCTGCTTTGCGTTTTCAAGATGGTGAAGACGTTGAAGATGACCAATGCCCCGGATGTTTCAGCACATCAACAACTGATGAAACCGCGGGAAACGATTACCGTATCACAATAAGAGAAATTGCGGATGATGTTGGCGTATTAGTTAGCTCATGTCATGAGTATGAAACGCGTGGCAGCAAAATTTGATCCAAATTTGTTGAACAAAACCAGCAGCGAAAGGAAGTTGGTCAGGAGTCACTGAATGAAGTAGTATTACTAAAACGTGTTAAGCTCATGGCCCACTTGTCCGGCACAGCACAATGAAAATGAATGGACCAGCGCCTTTTAGCCCGGCACGGCACAGCCAAGACCGTCCGCCACCGGAAAGGATTCCAGGTCGCCGATTGGAAATGCTGGAAAAATTTCTCCTCGTCTTCTTTCAGATCGTTGAAAAGATGATGAAACTCTCCCAGATTTGTCCTCTTTTGATAAATGGGATGGACCGACAACATTCTTTTTTGTCACTATTTCCCTTGAAATTGAATAAACAGCACCTTCATTATGCTGGTTGTAACTGGACAAGTGGCCGATGCCACTACCCGTCGCCATCAGGGACGGACAGCGCCGTGCTGTGCTGGACAAGTGAGCGACAACCTTTATAACAGGTGACTAAAGGTATGTTTACGAACATGACGTCAAAAATCAGGCTCATTCATCCCAGTGGAGACATTCTGGCTCGTCAACACCAAAAAAGGCTCGACAAGTGCAGCTAAACGTATGCTCGCTGATCTTTGCCATAGTGCATGATGCATCATGAATTTTTGCCACGAGATCAAACGGTCAATGAAGAGGACTACCTACAAGTTCACGATTTGCGTGACACATTTCGTACTATGATAATTCACCCGTTCACACTGTTTTGCTTGTTCGTGAATTTTTGGCCAAAAACAATACTGTACCGATGCCCCAGCCTTTATAGTCGCCGTACATGGCTACATTTATGTAGGCGAATAAATAAATATTTTCTTGGAAAAATAAAAATTCCTAGTATTTCCTGAACATAGTATACATACATGCTGACTTCTGCATGCCTCAATCAACGAACTGAGTTTTGCTGTTTTCTATTTGCTGTTTTC